TTCAACTTCATGCAATTTAAGTTATCTATCTTATCTTTTGTAATTAGCCTCTGTCCTTTGTTTGGTTAAGAATACTTCTACTACCCAAAGCTGTGAGAAATATATTATCAGGGCAGCTAGGTGGCACAGTGGATACAGCACCAGCCCTGGATTCAGGAGGAACTGAATTCAAATCTGACCTCAGGCACATAACACCTACTAGCTGTGTGACCCTGGGCAAGTCACTTAACCCTACTGCCTAACCAAAAAAAAAAAAAAATCAAGAAATATATTATCTACTCTTCTAATTTTTTTTAATCATATGATCTTTAATATTAAGGTCACACATCTATTTAGAATGTATTGGAGATTATGGTATAAGGTGTTGGTCCAAGCCCATTTTCTGCCAGAGTGCTTTCCAGTTTTCCCGGCAGTTTCCTAATTTGTTTTCTGTTTTATTGAATACTGGGTTATTGAGTTTCACTGTTTCTAATTCTCCTCTGTCCAGTCTGTTCCACTGATCTACCTGTTAATGCTTTTTTGTTGTTTTTTTTAACCAATACCAAATGATTTTAATGATAGCTGCTTTATAATACAGTTAGAGGTCTAGAAGTGCTATTCCCCCTTCATCCCTATCTTTTTTTCCATCATTTCCCTTTATAATACAGATTTGTTGTTTTTCAGATTATCTTTAATAATGTTCTTCAATCAAATTCTATAAAGTATTCCTTTGATAATTTGATTGGTATAGCATTAAAAGTGTAAACTAACTTTGGTAGTACCATTATTTTTTAATACTACCACAAGCTACCCATGAGCATTGAATATATCTCCAACTATTTGTTATTTCTTAAAGGAAAATAGCATATCTGAATCTACACAAATCTTTTGTGAGCTCTGGTAGATGGGTCCTCAGATACTTTATGCATTTTGTAGTTATCTGGAATGGAATTTCCCTTTTCATTGTTGTCTCTTGGATTGTTATTATTACATAGAAAGTTGATGATTTTTGATGGTTTATTTTTGTAGCCTGTAGTTTTGCTGATTTCACCTTGCCCGTTTGCTATTAGGTTGACTTGATTTTCTTGTCTTATTCTTTTTTATCGTATTGGCTAAAGATTTATGCATTTTATTTGTCTTTTCAAAGAACCAGGTTATTTTTGCATTGTCCAATAGCATGATTACCACTCCTGCTTTTTTGGATTCATCCGATAAATTTGGATTCATCTGATTAAATATTTTTTTCTAGTCCCTCATTTTTATTCTATATATGTCTTTTTTCTTTTTAGGTGTTTCTGGTAAGCAACAGATTATGGGGTTCTGTTTTCTTATCCAATCTATCACTCTTTTTTTGTTTTGTTTTATTTTGTTTTTAGGCAATTGGGGTTAAGTGACTTGCCCAGGGTCACACAGCTAGTAAGTGTCAAGTGCTTGGTCTGAGGCCGGATTTGAACTCAGGTACTCCTGACTTCAGGGCCGATGTTCTATCCACTGCACCACCTCGCTGCCCGGCAATCTGTCACTCTTTCTTTTCACTGGGCTACTTCATCCATTCATTTTAAAGGTATATGAGTTAGGTTTATGTTTGCCTCCATTTGTCTCTAATAGTAGTGTTGTTTATTTTTCCTCCAAATTAGGATTCTTCTCTTTCTCTATATTATGTTTCCTTGGTTATTTTAGCTTAATCTCTTTTAAAGCAACTCTATTCCCACTAGCTCTCTTCCCCTCATATCCAACCCCACCTCCCTTCGGATTTGTTACCCCTTTCCCCAGTTTGGAATTTTGCTGATTAAGTCCTTTTTCTTTCTTGCTCTTATCTAGGTATTTAACTCTTCCCCTTTTTTTCCCTCTCAGTTTAGTATTAAAAGGCCCCTTCCTCTCCTCTCCTTCAACTTGCTCAGTTTTAAATTTTACTTTTTCTAAAAAGATTTTTACTATCATTCTCTTCAATATTTATCTTCCCTTTCTCTCTATACCAGACTTTTATTCTTTCATTCATGACCGCTATATTTATTTTGTCCTTCTTTAGTTTTTATACTATTCATGAAATTAAAGCTTCTAAAGTATTTATTTGGGGTTCCTTTTTCTAAATCATTTCTATGTCATTGTCTTGAAGACCGTGCCCCCTGAGCCCCTATTTTCTGTTGTGTCTCACTCTTAGAAATACTAATTTCTGCTGGTGATAGACAGTATATTGCCCCATGACAGGAATTTTCCTGTCCTTGATTGTGTAGTTCATTATTGATCTTTGTCCTCCCCTTGGACATTTCCCCCCCCCCCCATTTTCCCCAAAATTTCCTTCATGGGTCCAATCCCTCCTACTCCTCTAAGTGTCAGTTGTCCCCGGAGCTTTAATTCCCCTTCTTCTAAGATAAGATGAGCTGTCTGTGTAATCAGCAAATCTCTGCAGATTATGCCCATCGTAATGTCCTGATTTCTCTTTACAGAACATATCTCTTCTCACATGGAAGCATCCATCAGTGGTACATCCTTGTATCACTGAAACAAGGTTTGCCCCTTTTTCAATCCCTCCTTCTTTGCCTCCTCATTCATTCTCCTATGAACTCTTCTTCCCGAGAGACCACAAGAGATATTTTCTGTCCTGTTAGCCTTCACTTTAATTGGGCATGTCACATATTCTCCTCTACCTTCTTCCTCCCTTCTCCCATTTTATGCACCCTCCCATTCTGTAATTTAGTCCTACCAAAAAAATACCGATTCACCTGTAGGCAGAGTGTTATAAAGTTTAGTCCACACTGTCTCAGTACTGTTTCTCCACCATCATTTCTGTTTGACCTTCTGCTTTCACTTGGGTCTCCTTGTGTGCATTTAGAAAGAAATAATTTAATAGTCTCTGTAAAAGTATTATGTTGTCCTTGGTTGCTGTATTTGTTTACTCTTCTTATATTTCTGTTGTCTAGAATGTTTAAGAAGCAAATACTTTCTTCAAGTCTGGTTCGCTTACTAGGAATGTTTCAAATGCATCTTTTTTATTGAACACGCACCTTTTTTTCATTAATGGATAGGCCCAGATTTGCAGGGTAGGTCACCCTGGGTTGCACCGTGAGCTTCTTTACTCTTTGGATCATATTGCTGTTATGTCCTCATGTCGTTTCTGATGGGTGCAGAATAATCTTGTTATTTGAATTTCCTTTCTTTTATATTTGAAAGTGTTTCTGCTGTTCATTTGCAGAATTTATTGTCAGCAAAATTGTTCAATTTAACCACTGTGTCTTGAAGTTTGCAGCACAGATTTGTTTGTTGTTTCTAGAGGCAATCTAGAGATTCTTTCAATTAGTTGTTTTCTGTGTTCAGAAGCTGAGGACAGTTTCCTAGTATTGTTTCTTGCATTATGGTATTCAGGGTTTTTTGACTTGATATGTTCTTCTAAGAGCCCTATAATCTTTAAGCTGTCTATATACATCCTGTCTTTGAGATAATTGTCTTGTTGTATGGAGATTATGCTTTCTTTTAATATTACTGCATTTTGCTTCTCTTCTTCCAGACTGTCCTTCACTTCTAAGTATTTGCATACCCAATCATTTATTCTTTCTTTTCTTACTTTGGTAAAACTTAGCACCACGGATTTAAGTTTTTCTCTTCCGCCACTTATCTGAGCTCTGCAGGCCATAAATTCTGCATTCACAATTCTTATTTCATTTTTAAACCATTTGGAAACATCCTGTTGGGGAGTCATGTTTTCTTCAAAACCCACAATCTACCAGAGCTCACAAAAGACTTGTGTAGTTCAAAACTCTCTGCCTTATAAGGCATTAATTCATTTTCCTTTGTCTTATAATATTTATTCATAAATGACTGAACCCTGTATCTGATCTGGAAGCCATATTCTCTTCTATTATTATCTTCCATGCTGGTTCATTTGCTCAAGGTCTTAGTTTTCCTCCTGAAAATTTCAGTAATTTTGGTCTTTTTTTCCTTTTCTTCCCCCTCCTATTGCTCATTTTCTTCCCCCTCCTATTGCTCATTTTCTGACTCAGTCAACTTTGACTGTGGTTTCATTGGGGGATCTCAAAGCTATCTCAACTTCTTCTCAGGCTGGGCATTTCACCCAGCCTCTACCTCTGCCCCAAGTGACTTGTAGGGAGGTAGATCTGGCCCCAGCTAGATAATGAGTTCTTACATGCAGAAGTAGTGGAATGATCCTCCCCCCCCCCCCCCCCCCCCCCCCGCCGCAACCACCCCACATCCTGCTGGAATCTCCTCTGTATCTCTGTTTCTCAGTTCTCTGGCTGATTTCTATTGTGGCAGAGTACTGCCAAGGGGCCCAATCATTCTTCTACATTTGAGTGTCTGAAGCAATGGGGTAAGGGAAGGGAAGGAGGACCGGTTAGAGTTGAGTTTTGTTACAAGCTTGCAGTTTAGTAACAGTGCAATAGAGGGTACTCAGTGAACACATTAGGGTTTAGGGATTAACAGCTTTCTCTATTGTTAGATCATCAGGTTTTTACAAAAACTCAGTCATTCTCAGCATCCAAGACAGCTGAAACTGCTTTATCTCTTGCATATAATTCCTATTTTAGAGAGGGTTGAGAGGCCATGAGGATCAAAGAAAATATCTAGTCTGCCATCTTATTGGTCATGAGACTCTGAATCTGAAGAATGACTTTTAAGCCTCCCCAGCAACCTGGATCCCTCCCTCTTCAATTAATTTTTTTTCCTATCTTATAAGGATTCTGTGAGGTCCTATTTCAGCTAATTTTTTTAATTATAAAAAAATTACAGCTGTGGGACAACATATTTTATAGACATTACAAGAAAGTAAGCAAATCTGGCTCCCTCCTGCCCAGATCTCAGAGTATTTTCTCAGACCCATAAAAAGATGTATGGAGAATACTATCAAGCCTTTGAAGGGCTAAGAGTAGAAAATCATGATGACTGAAGGTTTGTATACCTTACTTCACACGATGAATACGTTCTTGAGCAGTGAAGTACAAGGGAAAGAACACTGACTCTGATGTAGGAGAACCTGGGTTCAAGAAAGTAACTAGTTTCAAATCCTTCCACTGATACTTACTAACTTCAAGTCTTAGACTCCTTGGGCCTCAGTTTCTTCCTCTGTAAAATAAAGAGGGTGGATTACATGGCTTCAGAGGTCCCTTCTAGCTATAATTTCTTTCAAAATATATGATTCTATGAAAGGTTATATAAAACATTTACAGACAGAATGTTTTAAAGGTACTAAATGAACTTACTATTTAAAGCAGAGGTTCTTAAACTGGGGTCCATGAACTTGGTTTTTTTTTAATATTTTCATAACTGTATTTCAATATAATTGGTTTCCTTTGTAATCATATATATTTTATTTTATTCATCTAAAAACATTTAAAGAAAGGGTCATTTGGCTTCATTAGACTGCTAAAGGGATCCATGACACAAGAAAGATTAAGAACTCTTGATTTAAAGGGACTCTAATGTAAATCCTTTAGTAAAACAAAGAATCGCTGCAACTAAAAATTTTATTTTTTAAAAATATATTTGTTTGGGCATACCTATAAATCTGTGGTATAATATGAGCCTTTATTTCACAAATACATTGAAGGTAAGAATCCATCCTCTGAAATGTAATTATAACCATATACCATAAAATTATACCCTATGTTAGTTTGATGCCTAACAGAATCATGTATTTCACTATAATAATGGTACCCTATTTTAAGTAAATTTAATATACTAAGTAATCTGAATTTATAAGTGCAAAAAAATTAATCAGTTATTATTTATATTAAAAATAATTCATTACTTTAAAAAAATCTACTCCCTTTCATCTTACTGCTAAATACCTCCTGAGCTTCCTCCATTTCCTCATCTCCAATTCATCTAAATATTATAGTAAAACTGTTCTTTTCATATTAAAATATGCAATGGCTTTTTCTTTATGTTAGTCCTTTCTAATTTTTCTCTTTTTTTGATTTTCATAACATTACTTTCCTAATTATCTTTCTACTACCCTCACCACTTCTTAAGTCAATTTCCCTAATTCCTCTAGCCCCTAAAATGTGAGCACATCCTAAGGTTCAGTCCTCAACCATCTTTTCATCTCTTTCTATATTTGCTAAAGGATCTCATGCATTCTCCAATTCCACCATCCACTTCTGGGCAAATATCTCAGACCTCTAAGACTAATACCCTAATCTTTCTTCCTAACTTCTAATTCCACATCTAGAATTACCAGTAGATAATTGTTCACTTGCATGTACCACCATCCCTCAAACTCATGATGCTGAAAACTAAACTCATCATCCTTGCTCCACCAAAAAAAAAAAAAACCAAAAACATCTCCTTCTTACATATTAATTTTTGTGAATGACACCAATGTAACAAGTTGTCCAGTCTTAAAGCTGAGAACTATCTTTGAATCTTCTCTTCACCTCTACCTGATCAGTCTCCAAAAGTCAAATTCATTCTTACTAATATTCCTTCAATTTGTCTTTTTCGTTCCCTGTCACCACCCTGAGAGCCATAATAAACCCCACAGACTATTCAATAGCTTTTTAATTAGTCTCCCCAAATGCAATGCATTCTGTATGCTACTTTAAATAAAACATTATTTTCAACATCAGTCCTTCAAGGACTAATCAAAGCCTCTTTTCCTTTCCCTTTACTTTCCAAACTCTTTGGCCTCACATTCAAAAGCCTCCACAAACTGGCTCCAAGCTATCTTTTCAATTTTCAATTTTATTTTTCATTTTGCTTTTGTAAGAACATTCTACACCAACAGACTACTAGACTACTCATTCACTGCTCCCCAACAAAAATCTGAGTCATTCCTGCTTCTTTACTTCTCATTTCTGGTATTCCCCGTCTCCCTGACCTCTGCTCCCCACCTCCCACGTCCTACCTGAAGGCAACATATTCTACAAGGCCCCTCTCAAGTCCTATTTTTTCCAAGAAGCCTTCTATAATTACCCTGACCCATTGATCTTTCCCTTCTGAACTACTTATTCGAACTCTTATTGTCTGAACCACTCATTTGGCAGTTATCAAAAACTGACACATTGTTAATTATTCTTTTCATGTGTATATGTCTTGTAACTCCCACTGGACTCAAAGTTCCTTAAGGGTAGGGATCATGTCTTATAGCCATTTGATTCCCAAAAACATAACAGAGTGCCCTGCATGTAGTAGGCTCATGTCATGCAGTACAACCCCTCATTTTAAAAGTGAGGAAACTGGGTACCACAGAGGTTGATTTGCCCCAAGGTCACACAGGTGGCAGGTAATGGCAGAGCTGGGTATCAAACCCAGGACCACTGCTTTCAAATGCAATATTCTTTCAATTTTGCTTAAGTCAAGAATTTTTTCTCCACATGAATGGCTTTCTAATAAGGAGTGAAAGGATACTGGGAAATTAACCTATTTAAGAAAAGCCCAACCACCTAGCACTTAATGTTTGTTAAACTGATTTGCTGAATGATGGCTTCCTGGTAAAATATAAGCAAATTGTTGATCTACTGCTTCCAATAAGCATGCTCTTCTTCTAAGCATTTTGCACATGCTCATTGATGATAATGGAGGTCCTATGTGAAGCCAAATACCCATAAAATAGCCTTTCCCTGCTTTTTCCCCTCTCTGTAGAAAATAGATTTGCTTTGCTCTGGGAAGGGTGTGTTCCCCATGAGCCACTCCAGAGTTCTGCCATCAAAAGGGTACCTGCTAGAATATATAGCACCAAGTCACAAGAATGAGATTCTCTGCCAGACTACTGATCCCTTTCACCTCTGCAGGTAGAGAAAAAAATAAAAATTTCTCCTCAAAAGGGCCCAGATTTCAAACTTACGCATAGCTGCCAAAGATTTTAGAATCTGTATCTGCTGCTACTATAATATACATTTCATTAGCTTAATTTTATTAAGGCAGGTGCCATTTTGAGATTATCACCCAACTCTCAAGAATGTTTGAAAAGCAATTAGGAGAACCTAAATTTTGGTGTTTGGAGGATGACTTTAATTCCTGACGAGATGTTCCACTTCATTAGTCAAAACCTGTCATGCTTTTTTAATGACAACGATGATGATGATGACAATGACGACAACGATGGCGGCTAATATATATGTATGTATACATAGCATTTACTATGTGCCAGGCATTGTACTAAGTGTTTCACAACTATTATCTCATTTGATCCTTACAACAACCCTGGGAGGTAGGAGCTATTATTATCCCCCTTTTTTTATAAATGAGGAAACTGAGGCAAACAAAGATGAAATTACTTGCCCAGGGCCACACAGCTAGGAGGTATCTGAGGCCCATTCTGCACTCAGGGCTTCCTGACTCCTGGTCTGCATTTCTGAGCTCTTCCTTAATAATCCAATAAAGTCTTACTGAAAAATGCCAAAGAGGCAGCGCCCCTTTAACAATGGTGTTACCCTTTTCCCCAGACACAAGTATAAGAAAGAAGATTGTCCTATACTGCACTGGGATGGCATGCCACTGCAAAAAGGCAACACTACCCTCTGACCTAGCAATAGCACTTCTAGGGCTATATCCCAAAGAGATCATATAAATGGTCCATGTACAAAAATATTTATAGCAGCTCTTCTTGTGGTGGCAAAAAACTGGAAATTGGGAGGATGCCCATCAATTGGGGAATGGCTGAACAAGTTGTGGTATATGAATGTAATGGAATACTATTGTGCTATAATAAATGATGAACAGGCTGACTTCAGAAAAACCTGTAAAGACTTGTATGGTCTGATGCTAAGTGAAGTGAGCAGAACCAAGAGAACGTTGTACACAGTAATAGCCACGTTATGCGATGACTAATATTGATAAACTTAACCCTTCTAAGCAATACAAGGATCTAAGACATCTCCAGAGGCCTCGTGATGGAAAATGCTATCCACATCCAAAGAAAGAACTATGGAAGTCAAATTGCTATCTTTTTTCTCTTCTGTTGAGTTTTGTTTCCTCTTTCTGATGGTTCCTCCTCTTGGTTTTAATTTTTACTTACAACATCACTAATATGAAAATGTGTTTAATAGGAATGGATATGTATAGCCTATATCAGATTGCATGCCGTCTTGGGGAGGGTAGAGGGGAGGAAGGGGGAGAAAAATTTTTAACTCAAAAGCATATGGAAGTGATTGTTGATAAATCAAAATAAATTAATAAAAAAAATAAAAAAGGCAACACTACAACAATGCTGATGACTGAATATCTGTTGGGATTTAGAGGCTCAGTCAGAACAGCAGCCCGATTTCATGAGAATTTTCTAGTTCAAGGGTTAATTTGGGGTTGGGGCCAACCAATATCATATAGGAGCACCTTTTATACTGTAAATATTTATTTTCATTAAAATCTGCCAATATAGTCTAATTACTAATTTAAGACACTAGGTCTATATGTGTATGTATACATGTGGATACACACACATACACAGTTACCTTTGTCAAGTTCATAATAAGATGAAAATTTAATACATACATCTGGTCAGGTTTTTGTTTGAATTGAGTTTTCTTATTCGATTGAAGTAAAACACAAACAGCATTTAAAATGGAATGTACTACAGCCAGAAGAAAAAGAATAAACTGATTCCTACATTTTTCTATATACAAGATGTTATCCTAACCAAAAGCACAGTTCTGCATGGCCAAGTTAATGTCCTAGACACTTCTAAATACAAAGGAATGAATACCACATAGAACATACCATAAGGAATGGCAGACATTAAAAACCACATGAGTAATTCAAAGGTTGCATAGAAATACTTCATGCCCTTTCTTGAGACAACTAGTAAAATTAAAACTATGCCAGCAAAAAGCAGTTAATGCCCTTCAAAAGCAACAGCGAAGAGAGTAACAGGTTGCAATCCCAGGTAAGGGTTAATGTTTGAATGCTTAATTCCCACTATGAGGTTAGCATTTAACTTAAACTTAACCCAACCTTCCCAAGGCTGTATTACCAGCTCTGCCACACAGAAGTTGGGCCCCTCCTGTCAGTTTTATTTAAATATTTGTCCTAAAGGAATAAAGGTCTAAAGCTTTCCTTAAAGAATCTGTGTTTTAGAATTGTTTTCCTGTACTGAGAGCTTTAAAAAAAAAAAAAGACAGAAATAGAGATATTCAGAATAATCTCCCTCAAGCATTATTTTTGATCAAGTACTGCGTTAATTCAATCTTATTATTAAACACGTAGTATTAAGAGAATTCCCACAGTTAGTAGCCTCTTAGCCTCTAAAACAAAGAGGAAAGCTCAAGGATGCTTGAAAATACATAGGATTTTAGTATGAGACTAATACTGTTATGAAACTAGTATTCAAAAAACCTTAGTAAGCCTAGAAGTAAAACAATGAAATGGCCAAGTAAGCAAAGATGAGTCACAGATCATAGACAGTAAAATTCTGTAATAATATGGCTCATTATCATATAGACATGTCTGTATTTCAGATTAAGTCAGAAAAACCACCTAAATTATGACTATTACATATACAAAGTCTGTACAACAGATTAAGGTCCAAGGCAATCTCGTCCTTCTAATACCAACAACACACAGAAATCCACTGTAGGCTCAGTTGTGCTTACTGTCTTCCAAAGTATGATGAATTTTCAGAATCCAACTTGGATACACCAAAATTTTCTGATTCCATATAGTATGTACTAGAAATTGGTAACATTCAGCACTGTTCCAAACACCAGATCAAGCAGAATATACATGAGAGCTTATGGCCTATATATAATAATTCCTAATTAAGAACAATTTCAATTTCATTCCTTCTTCATGGGGACAATCTACTACTGGTATTAAAAAAAAAAAAACCTTATGACAGCATAATCTTATATAACATCCCAGCTGTGTAGAAAGGGAAAAAAGAGACAGAAATACAGAAACTACACACGTGCATATACACACAGAGCTGTTTTTATAAGGATCCAAAACATATACCACTATCCCCTGCTCTTCCCTTTTCCCCAAAGCTTCCAAACACATTATAGATCTTTAAATTTCATCAGAAATATCCTTCCTCTCTGAATATACCAATGTTACTTTCTAAAAGACATGCAAGATTTTCCTGCCATTTCTGAATTAAACCTTGCAAAATTAAAAAGGAGGAAGGGAAGAGGGGGAAAGGGTATCTGGACAGGAATAGGGGTAAAACAATACTTTTCTTCAGATGTTGTCATTATTTCCAGAGTTAGTACAGAGAATCTATGAGCTTTATAGTTCAAAACATCACTTTAGCTGCAGGGAGATGAATTAAACCCTTAACGGAAATATGTGCCAAGAATAAAGGGAACAAGTCCCTCTCTTTAATTTTAGTATTTGGTTTTAGGAATTCCATCACCATATAAACAGTAGCACACTCTGAACAAATATAATCTCATTCCTCAAATGAGAATGAAAACCATTCAAAGGTCCATCAGACTTACATCCTAAATACAAACAATTTTAAACCTGGATTTTTCAGCTTATACTGTTATCCTGCACGAGACTGTTCATTATTACCACCCTGAGCAAAATTTTCCACTAAAATAATTTTCAACAGTAAATTAACATGCTTACTTAGTGACGAAACATGTTGCATTTTTTATATAAAAGGAAACAGGAGAAAAACTGACATGTCTTTTAATAATGACATCTTTTAAAATGCATCAGCTGCCTTTGACAATGCTGCCCATTCCATTCCTTCTTGAAACATTCTCTTTGCTCAGACTCTAACACAGAGCCCTCCTGACACTACCCCCAAAAATACTTTTCCTGTCTTCGTCAGTGATTATTCTTGTCCTCGAACTTGATTACTGCCCCAAAGCTCAATCCTTGACCCCTTGCTCTTCTCCTCAAGCACAATTCATTTACTTTCATGGTTTCAACCAACATCTTATACTGAGGACTCCTAGATTTCCACTTCAATCCTGACTTCTTGTCTTCTCTAGACCCATATCTTCGGCTACCTACTTGAATACCCTAATTATACCTGAAACAATATGCAGAAACATTCCTAATCTCGCTCAAAACCACTACTTCCTCCATACTTCCCAGTTATTGTCTGATCCTCCCAGTGTTCTAAGCTCAAAACTCAGGAGTCATTTTAATGCTTCTTCTCCTTCCCATATTCAATCACTAACCTTAAACCTTCTCATTTCTTTCTTAAAAAATGTCTTCCTACCCATGAAGAAAGATGCCATCCACCTCCAGAGATAGAACTGATGAATTCTGAACGAAGAGTGAAGCATTTTTTCTTTATTTTTATTATTTTGTGTTTTTTTTTAAAAACATGACTAATATATGTTCTGCATGACTTCACATGTATAATCAATTTCAAATTGCCTTCTCAAAGAAAGGGGGGGGCAAAAGGGAGGAAAAGAATTTGGAACTCAAAATTCTAAAAAATGAGTGTGAAAAATCTTTTTACATGTAATTGTGAAATATTTAACCAAATAAATAAAAATAATTAATTTTTTTAAAAAATGCCTTCATAATCCTCTTTTCTTCATTTCTATAACTATCCTAATTCAGGCCCTCAATACCTCATTCCAATATTTTTTCCTACTAGTTGATCTCCTTGTTTTAAGTCTCTCCCCTGTCTAATCCCTCTATTCCAATTTATCTTACATTCAGAATATCTCTTCTTCAAGAACAACCACAATCAAACAATCAAAATGAATATTGTGAAATTGTAAAGAACAATCTTAGCCCCAAAGAAGAGATATGAGCAAACATCTCTCTTCACACCTATGCAAAAGGGGTGTGGGTGTGTGGGGATGGGGGTGGCTGTCTGTAGGAAGATGAGAGGGGCATCCATAGGTATGGAACACTAAATGTAATGTTGCATTCTTTCAATATATTGATTGGTTTTGCCAATTTTTTCTCTTTCTCTTTTACTTAAAAAAAAAAGTCTCTCGTATAAGGAATAGGTCTCTGAGGGGTTGGGGAGAGAATTTAGGGGGAAACCAAGCAATATAAAAACAAAAATATCAATAAAATCTATATTCACAAAATATATTTATCAAAAGTCATTTTCATCAAGTCATCCAATGACTCAAAGCTAAAGCAGTTCCACATTGCCCAAAGTACTAAATCTAAATTTCTCAGTCAAAAATCTCCAACAATTATTTTCCCTATACCTCTCTAACAATTCCTACAGTCAATTTCTCACATGCAAAATTTACTAATTCCTGCTTCTGTAACTTCATATTACTAATGTCCACACTCTTTACATCAACCTAAGTTCATCACCTCCTTCCAAACTGGAACAAAATTCCCTTAATTCAGGAAGCTCTCAGAGATGAACACTGATACATTATTATTATTCCTTCACTGTTTTTCTTCAGTAATTGCAGTCTATTATTTTGCCTTGTTGCTTTGTAATTGTTCTCATTGTTGCTCCAAAATTCAGTATGTCTGTCTCTCATAAGCAGACTGTAAGTTTGTTGTTGTTTTTTTTTATTCTTTTTTTTTTTTAAGACATTTGGGGTTAAGCCCAGGGTCACACAGCTAGTAAATGTCAAGTGTTTGGTCTCAGGCCGGATTTGAACTCAGGTCCTCCTGACTTCAGGGCCAGTGCTCTATCCACTGTGACACCTAGCTGCCCCTGTAAGTTTCTTAAAGGCAAAGATTTATACCAACTTCTCCCACTGTGTCCCTCCATAACACTTGGAACAGTACTCTGCATACAAATAGTCAATAAATGTTTGTTAACCACTCTAAGCGTTTCTAATTCACAACCCAACTATGACTGCCTCTAATAAAATGATTACAAATTTCTATTACCCAAAACTTATTATTATAGACATTACAGTCAGTCTTACAAGAATTTACATGGAGGAACCACAGTGTAGAGGTTATAGCGAGGAACTGGAATTCAGGACATCTGTAACATCTTCCCAACTCTGTCAAAGACTTGTGTGATCCAGGGCAGATGACTTTATCTCTTTTTGCTTCAGTCTCCCCCATCTGCAAAGCAACGATAATATTTATCTACAAATCCAGGGTACTATGAACTTTAACAATTTCAAAAATATTAGATAAAACAAGCTGCAGAAAGCACTTGGAAAATTTAGATAAAAGTTTTCATATGTATATGTACAGTTACATATACATATGTGAGTGTGTGTGTGTGTGTGTGTGTGTGTGTGTGTGTATAATCAACTTAAAGGACCAGGCACTTGAAAAACCCCTGCAAAGGATTGTTTAATACTTCTCCACTGTGGTTCATAGCTATCCTAAAGTTATTACCATTACGATGTAAGTCTGTAGAAGGCTGACATCAAACATCATCAAGTATCATACAGACCTCTCTAAAAAGTTCCATTTAAAGGGAAGCAAATTTCTGATACCATCCTCTCCCACATTGTCTTTGGAGATGTCACAATGTAAATCTCTCAGTCTCTACATGGAGAGAAGGTGCTTTTCCCAAGCTCTTTCCCATGGATGATGGAATGTTTGCCACCACTAGGTAATGTTTCTACCAGGAAGCCCTCAGTTTTTCTCTCTGACTTTACCTTTCAGTTCCAATTGTAACCATGGTGATAGGTAACAATACTAAAGGGAGGTCAACTGTGCAAAGACCAGGGAAGGTTACACAGAAAAGTTAGAAAACAATATGTCACAAGGCCCAAGAATATGGCGATTAGGTTTTCAGTGTCTAGAATAGAGCAAACGGTCTCTCTACTACCTTCAAGTGAATTCTAAAGAAATGGATAATAGGAGAGGCAGGGAGGAGGCAAAGTATATAAGGGATTGAAAATATGGCTAAAGGTTAACTCAGATGAGGGAGAAAAGTTAACATGGATAACTGAATTTCACCAAGAATGTTCTACCCTCCTCCCAGTCATTTCAGTCAATTGTTCCAATCTTCATTTTCATTAACCTTTTTCCTGGAACTGCTAACAAGTTGACACTGACAGTTTCAGTTTCATCTACTTTACCTCTCTCACTGTCCAACTTTACTTTATGGCAATGAAAAGAGCAGTGCAATGGTCAAACAGAAAGGAGAAGGGGCCGTGATGTCTCCCAAACTGTACAATTAGGCCACTGAGACTTGACTATTTTAACCTCTAATCTACAAGTGGAAAAAAAAACATTATTTCCTCAATTTAAAATGAAACCAAAAGACTTTCAATGAATAACTTATAATTGCTTCATCATTTCATATTTATTAAGCATCAACAATGTGCTACTAAAAGAGAAGTCTTATATGCAGATTCTATTACGGACAGTGGCACAGAACAAGTCAGTGTCAAAACAGGAATGAGAGCTCTCGGATGGCCTGACTCGTAGTTCCCATTCTAACCATTACGCCACACTCTTTATGTTTAGACAGAAGGGAAAACCCATTTCACAGTGTCATGATACATAACCATCAGAACCTTGTTCCTAGAGGAGACAGGCCCCCTTCTGAAACCGGTCACCTAGAGCTGCATCCAACTGTATTTACGGAGCATTTGCAATATTCAGACTAATGACTTCAAAAGGTGTAGCCTTTTGTTGGTGGGGAGGTGATCCTACAAGGAGCAACTGCAATGGCAGGTAAGCCCAGGTGGCGGAGAAGACTTGGCCTCTAGGATCCGTGCTTGTGAAACCCCGGGGGCCTCTGCTGCAGCACCAGGGGCGAACTAACGCTTAGGCCCTGGACCACCTCAAACAACCCAACTTCTCTTCTTTGGAAGCAGGAGCAGCTCACTATCTGGCAGCAAGCAGGTTGAGCCACAGTGTGACGACGTGGGGTAAAGAGGATCGTTATCCAGCAGGAACCTGCAGCACGGTGCTGCGCATGCGCCCCTAAGACAGCGAAGGAACACATACCACGCCTCGGGTGCGCTCGCGCATGCGTATTTTCTCCCCTCGCCTCCGGCGACAGCTCACTATTTGGCATGGGGGGGATGGGGCAAAGGGAGTGAATGGGGGGAAGGGGACGGAGAAGAGGGAGGGCCGAGTGTCCATGAATTCAATGCCAGAGTGGAGGGAAAGGATGGATGGTTGATGAGCCGCCAGATTCACGCCATCGTCCGAGTGTGGGTTAGAGAAGGAAGGGTGTGTGTATGTATGTGTGTTGGGGGGGGTCTAGTCAGCCCCTTAGGAAGGCGCCCCCCCCTCCGACTGGACAACCCCCTCTCTCTCCTCCCCCCACTCACCTGAGAGCGGCCGCGACAGCTGCTGGTCCCCGTCCCCGTGCGCTCACCTCATACTGTCCGCAACATCCGGGACCTGCCGGGCGGACACACATACAAACACGCAGAGCCCGCACACTCACACTCACACACACACACACACACACACACACACACACAGACGGACAGACACCGGCCCGGCGTCACGGCGTCATGGCGTCAGCCCAGTGAGCGCGTGCTCGCCCCGTCCCGCCCCGCCTCCGCGTGGCACCTCCCACCCTTTCCCTTCCGTCCCCTTTTCTACCCCCGCCCCATCCTTTCCAACGCCTGCTTCGCACTGTCCTTAGTGCGCCTGCGCCCCAGGTCCTCTGACCGGTACCCTGAGAGTAGAAGGACAAGGCCAGCGGAGAGACAGAGAGAGGGAAGGGCGAGGGAGGCGGCAGGAAAAAAAAAAGCGACGGCGGAGGGGGGGGAAGGGGGGAGCGGGAACTAGAAGTGGGTCGCGTGCAGGGCGGGGTAGGCTGCATGAAAGCTCAAGGTGCAAGGTCTGGGCCAAATGCTAACCCTTAAAAACTCAGCAGGAAAACATGTTCTGGAGCTTTCCTCTTCCAGATAGTGATATTTGAGTGGTGTGAAATTTTACAAGAAGAAGGGACTATTTTAAGCTACAGTTTTAAATTTGGAAACATTTTCAGCCCAAATTCCTAGTTTTTTCTTTACCACCAAAGGAGAATTTGGCTTCAGGGATTGGTCTGAAATAATTTGTCACCACAGAAACCGGGGACCTCCAGCATTTACCACACTCAACAAGGGGATGGACATCCTTGGAGGGGAATTTGAGGGAAAATGTATCTTAGGACTTCTCAAGAGATGTAGGAGAAAGGGTCCTAGGACAAGAAAAGAGAAATGACTTACTCAGTGATGATCAGTATGTAATGCGCTCTGACCTCAGCTCCTTGCTCTGAAACTACCAAGTCCCTTGTTAATAATCAAATCCACTACTCAGGAACTTCATGACCCCATTTGGAGTTTTCTTGGCAAAGATGTGGGAGTAGTTTGCCATTTTCTTCTCCAGCTCATTTTGTAAATGAGAAACTGAAGCAAAGAAGGTGAAGTGATTTGCCCAGAGTCACACAGCTAGTAAGTGTCTGAGGCCAGATTTGAACTCAGGAAGATGTCTTCCTGTCTCCAGGCCTAGCATTCTATCTACACTGTGTCACCCAGCAGACAAATACCAAAATGATACTCCTAAAGTACAGGTCTGACCATGACATTTTCCTGCTCAAGAAATTCCAGTGATTCCCTATGGTTTAAAGATTATATACAAAACAGTTCTGTTAGGCATTCAGCACCCTACCTAATCTGGCCCCAGCCTACCTTTTCTATTTTGTTACACATTATTCTGCTTCATGTGTTCTATGTTATAGCCAAACTGGCTTTCTTGTTGTTAGTACTAACAGGCCTTTGCTACAAAAAGAATGTATTCCCTCTTTACCTTCACCCCTTAGAATCTCTGGTCTCCTGCAAAACTCACTTCAAGCACCACCTACAGCCTTTCTTGATCAGCTAGTGCTTCTCAACTTTCTTGGAAATTACCTTGTGTTTACTTTGTATCTACTAATATGTGTAAGTGTTACCCCAGTAAAATGTAAGCTGCTTGAATTCTATTTTTGTCTTTGTATCTTCAGTACCTAGTCTGGTTGATAGTAAGTACTTAACAAATACATGTTGATTACTTTATTAAATAATTGAGAAGGACACAGTTGCTCTAAACTCCTGGTAGGGTTTTCAGTGCCAGAGGTTAGTATCTATAAGCAGTCTCTGCTCAGTTACCTCTTCAGTATCTGAAGGAGTCTGGGGCACTGTAGCTCTTACCATAAGGGCTTGGGCACCTCTACAAGACCAGGCCCACCCCAGCCTACTTATCACTCCTTAATCCCATCCAGATCCTTTCACAGTCCTTTTTGTATACAAACATCAATCTCACCCCCCCCCAGCAAAGCTCAGATTCATTAGGAATCTAACCCACTTCTATTGGCTTTATAGTAAACTGCCCCTTGACTGGAAGATGGTTTGAGTTTGTGAATTCATTCCAGGCAGACTCCACCTTGCACCCTAACGTTTCAGGGTTCCCAGCAACTCCAAACTGCCTCAATGCCACCGACTGCCTGCCTTACATACCTAACTCATTCTGAGACAGTTGTTCTTTCCTCCCACAAGTCTTCCATCCTGTTCAACTGGGCATGCTTAAAGCTTCTAAATTCACACACAGACTTCTGGAAGGTTGTGGTTCTCAAAGTAAATGTGTCCAGGGAACCAGGCGCCCACCCACTTAAAAGAATAATATTTGGATACTTGTATTTCCATAACCAGTCATTTCTTGTTTACCAGAAATAATACAATGAAAAGTGAGTGTTTCTGCCACACTCCTGTGGCCTCATTTGGGGGGGGAAATGATTCAATTAAATTTTCTTTTAAAAACCACCAAGAGGTACTCACCAGGATGAGGGCCCCCAGCCAGCACTGATAACTTCAGGCACTTTCATCTAGAGCTGCCACATGCCTATTACGGCACATTTGGGGAACTCTCCCTCCCCTTAGCATGGCTTTGTAGTACAGAGGAACCAGTCACCCAAAGCCTCTCAGACTAAAGCAGCTGTTTTCTGTTCCACTTTCAGCATGCAGCTGCCTGAACTGGCAGTCTGGGGTCTAGAAGTATTTCTATTAGTCTAGGGACTCATGTGTACCCTGGTAGGCTTACAGGGAAAAAAAAAATCAGCCTTTCTGTGTATCTCATCTCTATTTCTCTGTCTCTATATGTGTCTAACCTACCTCTCCAACACCCAAATCCCCCTCAACTTGAGACATTTGTCTCTTGTTTAAAAGAAAAAAATTTCTCTCCCTTTCAAGCTGTGCATACAATAACCAAGCAGGATCAATATTAATGGCCATAAAATTATGTGGTCGTTTAGATAATACAGACATGAAAGTGAAATAAGGGAGCTGACACTTTTCCATCTTATCCGCTCATCTGCCAGCAGATGCTAGAAGCGGTTGAGAACAAATAAAAAAGTAGTAAGCTTAGGGATTTTCTATCAGTGGGAGGAACTGCTTTCCCCATGGGTGGGCAGAGGAAATGCAGGAAGGAGCTGTTAGCCAGGCTGAGGTCTTTTAATGACCCAGGGGCCACAGGTCACATCTTAACTCCTCCCAGATTGTACTTGGTCAACAATGAAAGTCCAGTCTTGTGCATAGCTTACAATCCAAGCACCTCCACCATGTTTTCCTTATTCTTCCCATCATTCCACACCAGCATACTAGCCTCTAGCATTGAAAACCCTACCAGAAATTTAGGGCAACTATGTCCTCAATCATTTTATAAAGTCAAGAAGTTCTGAGTTCACATCCAGTCTTATATACTCACTAGCTGTGTGACTCAGGCCAAGTCACTTAACCTCTATTTGCCTCAGTTTCCTCAGTTATAAAAGAGATAATAATAGGGTTGTTGTGAAGATCAAATGAGATAATATTTGTAAACCACTTAGCACAGTGCTTGGAACATAGTTATTTGTAATTTATAGTTTATTAAGTAATAAATATTTATTTCCAAGAACTCACCATCTGACAAAAATTGCTGGGAGCACTGGAAAGCAGTTTGGCAGAAACTAGGCACAGACCAACATCTCACACCATATGCCAAAATAAGTTCAAAATGGATAAATCATTTAGATGTAAAGGGTGATATCATAAGTAAATTAGAGGAGCATGGAAAAATTTACCTCTCAGATCTATGAATAAGGGAAGACTTTATGAACAAACAAGAGATAGAGAGGATCACAGAAAGTAAAATAGATGATTTTAATTATATGAAATTAATGTTTCTAATGCAGCCAAACTTAGACTAATGTTAAAATTAGAAGGAAGGCAAGAAAGTGGGGTAGGGGTGGGATTTAAAGCAAGTTTCTCTGATAGAGGACTCATTTCTCAAATATATAGGGAACTGAGCCAAATTTACAAAAAACTGCGAGCCATTCTTCTATTGATAAATGTTCAGAGGATGTAATAAACAGGCAGTTTTCAAAAGAATAAATCAAAACTAACAAAAATAACATAAAAATGTTCTAAATCATTATTGATTAGAGAGATTCAAATTAAAATAACATTAAGACATAGCAGCTCATAACTATCAGATTGGCTAATATGACAGAAAAGTAAAATGATGAATGTTGGAGGGGATGTAGAAAAATTGAGACACTACTTCACTGTTGGTAAAGTTGTGAACAAGTCTAACCATTCCAGAGAATAATTTGGAACTATACCCAAAGGGATATAAAATTATGGATACCCTTTGACCCAGCAATACCACTATTAGGTCTGTACCCCAAAAGAGATCAAAGAAAAGGTTAAAGGACCTATTTGTACAAAACTATTTGTAGCAGTTCTTTCTGTGGTGGCAATGAAATAGAAATTAAAGGGATGCCTATGAATTGTGAAGTGGCTGAACAAGTGGTACTATATGATTGTAATGGAATACTATTGTGCTATAAGAAATGACAAGCAGGATGGTTTCAGAAAAACCTGGGAAGTCTTATATGAACTGATACAAAGTGAAGTGAGCAGAAAAAGGAGAATATTGTACATGGTAGCAACAATATTGTTACAATGATCAGCTGTGAAAGACTTAGGTTCTGTGATCAAAACAATGATCCAAGACAATTTCATGAAGAAAAATGCTATCCTCCAAAAAGAAAACTGATGAACCCTGAGTGTGATTGAAGCACATTTTTTTGCTTTCTTTATTTTGTGTATATTTTCTTTTGCAACATAGTTAATATGAAAATATGTTTTGCATGATTTCACATGTATGATTGAGATCATATTGCTTACCTTCTCAAGGGTGAGGGAGGGGTAGGAAGGAGAAAGAATTTGGAACTCAAAATTTTTTTAAATGGATATTTAAAAAATTTTAAGTAATTGGGAAATATGTAATGAAATAAAATATATTAAAGAAAAAAATGTGTATTTCCTTCCTTCGAGTCCAACCCATAAAGAAAGTAATCCCCACTAAAATATACCCAACATGTGGTTGTCTAACCTCTATTTAAAGACCTCCAAGGAGAAGGAAATAAGCATTTATATAGCACCTATTATGTGCCAGGCATTGTGATAAGTGATTTGGGGTGTTTTTTTTTTAAATAAATATTGGGGTGGGG